AGTCTTTTCTCTTTTTTTCTTTTTCTTTTCTTTTCTTTCTTTCTTTTCTTTTCTTTTTATTATTCACAGTTTTCAAAAGGATGGTGGCATACTACACCATGCAGGAGAGAATATAGAGGTTGTTCACACCCATAGTCTTTTCTCTTTTTTTCTTTTTCTTTTCTTTTCTTTCTTTCTTTTCTTTTTTTTTTTTCTTGCCACTGAAACATAGTTTATTATTCACAGTTTTCAAAAAGTTGGTGGCATACCACACCATGCAGGAGAGAATATAGATTGTTCACATACAAGTAGCAAGCAGGAGAACTGTTAAAAAGACTTCATTGTGATTTTCTTTTTTTTCTATTTATTACCATCATAATCTTATATTACATTGAATCATATATAACGTTACAGCATATTACATTTCTTTTTCCAGAAGGAATACCATGCATTTCAGTCAATACAGAGACATTAAAATCCCCATTTCATCATCTAATATCTTTTCATTGTTTTTCCCAATCATTATTTTTATTATTCTAATTTTTTTAAACTATCAATCACTATTTCTCATTTTGCTTATAAAAAGACTTTACCCAACATGAAATACTTCTCAGACCAATCCAGTTGAGAATACTATACACATCATCATCAACAGGTAATAAACCATATCTGTGTCCTACTAATGTCATGCCTATTTGTTCTCTTGCTATCTTCTCTATTCTCTTCTCTTCTCCCCCCCCCACTCCACACTCTCTTATCCTTGTTAACTATTTTCACTGCTTTTATGTCCTTCAATATTTCACTCTCTACCATAGAGTGCGGATAGTCAGTATATATTAAGTGGATACATACAATATCTTTCTTTCATATCCTGGCTATTAAAAAGGTAACTCTAACACATTACTGGGACGACTACTGGAAAATGAAAAGAATATCTCAGGGGACCAGCAGTTAGCGTAATGGCTATGTTGCTGGACTCCCATGTAGACAACTGCGGTTCGAGTCCTGGATCCAGTGGCTTAAAATCACACCAGGCACGTGTGTGTGCATGCCCAAGATCCCGAGAGGAGAATGGAGGAGAAGGGATTGTGGTGTGGCCATCCCCCCTGGGAGGTGATTTCTCGCTTTCTGTTTTTCTGTCTCCCTCTGTCTTTCTGGCGAGTGCATGCACCCTATAGCAAAACCTCTCCAAAAAAAAAAAAAAATCTTAGGAGAGTAGTAAGCAGTATTGTAAACTAGCTCAGTAGTCTTATCCCAGCAACAACTACTCATTATTTGGTATGGTACCTACGCTTTTTGAGCCAAATAACTAAGGAACTCGTGGTCTGAGAGAGGAACTGGAATATAGTCGAGTAATACAGGTAGAAACTGTGCTCTCCAGACATAGTTTAAAATTTGATACCTCTGTCAATAAACATTTTTGAGCATGCATGCAAAAAAGAATGTTTAAATATTAATTTTTATTTATTTATTTATTTTTAGTGAGAGGTAATGTGAGCACATGTGCACAAAAGGAAAGGACGAGAAAGGATTGTCATTGCAATCTTCTGCCCCTGCCTCCCAATTAGCTAGGATCGCAGCCGTGTACCACATGCTTGGCCTCTTTTTTAGGTTGGTTCAGGATCCAAACCTGGGCCTCCTATGTGGCCCCAGCTTCAGGTACCCATGCCCTACTGCTTGTACTACCATGACTGGGCCAGGATATTTAATTATTTGTGTGCTACATAGGTCTCTCTAGTAGTATATTGTATAGATTTTACAGCAAACTCAAAAACAAAAATTAAAAGAAGGTAATATAGAAATAAAAATTATTATGGTCTTCTTCCTTTTTCGTAAGTTCTTTTGGAGAGTTCACTGGCTTAAAGTCTCATGAGAGAGACAAATGATCAGAAAAACTAGCAAGAGGAATCATGCAGAGGAAAGGTCTTCTGTGTCGGTAATTTAACTTCGTCGGAAGGGCTAGAGAAGGCTTCCCTAAGTAAGCAACATTTGAGATAGGATCTAAAAGAGGAGTTTGGGGTTCCCACAGCAAAAGAACTAAAAGTGGAGTATTCTAACAATAGTCCCATTTAATGCTTTGAATAGTCTTTGTAGTTTGAAGCATGTTGTATTCAAGAAGCTGAACGAATGCTTGTGTTGCTGAGGAGGCAACATCAGTAAACAATTTCTGAGAGGTTGTAAAAGAGCCAAACCACTTTAAAAATTTGAAGAGGAAAAGCGACATGATCATCTACTCACTATTCTATTATAGTTACATTTGGGTAATATTTTTCTTCCTAAGGTGGTCCTACACACTGGACTGAAATAGGATAGATAGTAAAAACCCTAAAGAGAAAGTCTCAATGTAGGAAATTATTGCTTAACACCAGAAAAGTAATCTTACAGTAATCATGCTGTGAGACTTTGCAACAGTAGAAGGTAGAGTATGCTGAAAAGGAAAATTAAGAAAGAGCAAATTACAAATGAACATGTTCCTCTAATTTACAAGCAGCCTGAAATACAAAACCCAGGAAATACCAGCATTATCTAAACTTATATTGTATTCTCTTCCATTTACAATAGTTACTACTTATTTGTTAACATCTTACTGTTTCTTTTAACTCTAATCAAAGAAAAGGTCAGACTATGATCCAAGTAATTTCTAAAAAGTAATAATAACAGAAAACAGTTGATGTCATAGCTCTGACCTGAGCATCTTACATCTGTTATCTAATTTAGTCCTCACAGTGACTGTATGAGTACTACTGATCTTCTCACTTTGATAAAAAAAAGGAGGTGACAGACCCAGTCTAGCTACATTTTTCTTTACTGTGCTATGCTTTCTCTCATGAACTATTTATTCCATAAGGCATTGAAGGATATTACAAAATAAGAGCCAGAATCACTGGCTGTTAATTACTCAAGTGCTTGTTCGCTTAGACTTAAAATGAAATCAAGCTTAAAAACCATTTTAAGGAACCAGCCGTTAGCGTAATAGCTATGTCACTGAACTCCCACGTAGTTGACCGTGGTTTGAGTCCTGGACCCGGTGGCTTAAACTCATGCCGGGTGCATGTGCGTGCGTGCCCAAGATCTCGAGAGGAGGATGGAGGAGAAGGGATTGTGGCATGGCCATCCCCCCTGGGGGGTGATTTCTCGCTTTCTGTCTCTCTGTCTCTCTGTCTTTCTGGCAAGTGCACATGCCCTATAGCAAAAACCTCTCCAAAAAAAGAAGAAAAAAACATTTTAAAGTGAGGGGCAGAATGTTAAAATTAAATGGTATCTTATTCTGGCTTCGCAGTTAATATACAGATATGTAAGATGTACATATCTGTTATATCATTATATATAAGAAACGTAAGGATGTAAGACTTGAGAATGACAGAGAAACCTACAAAATTTCATTTTTGCTTCCTTAGAATCTTCTAGGTGGTGATAAAATAATAAATGAATGGGAGGAGGATAAGAGTTATAAAAATTCCAAACTAGAAAGGATTGTTAGTCATGTTGACACAAGGAACACGTAAACTTGAACTTTGCCGTAAAGGAATAGTATGGTTCATCTAGGTTGAAGAAGAGTGTGGGAACCTTATAATCCACTAGGAGGTGACTTTACAAGCAGACATACCAAGGCCAAGGCAGAAATGGGGTGGACCTCCTGACACAATGAGTACACTGAGCGAAGGAGCAGAATCTGCATACTGGAACGTGAGGGAATGTGAGGTTTGAAACATGCAGTTAACGTGGAGCATGACTGCTTAACTAAAAAGCTTCATATTGCTTCCAGGAAATGGGAGCGTTTTTTAAAGCTTTTGGAGCGAGAAAGTGACAAAATGGTCTAAGAAAATAACATGTAGGAAGAAATGAAACTGGGAGGCTTCAGTTAGAGGTCTTAATTGAGAATGAGTTGTAATCAGGACATGAGGTGAGAAGTGGAATTGAGGTAGCTGAATTGAAATAGAGCTGAACGAGCACATTTGAGACATATTTCAAAGGAAAAGTGATAGAATACATGTCCAATTAATCATGGGATTAATTAATATTTTTACCACCAAGAGTAAATGAGGCTTTATTCATGGTTTTTGATAACGTATAGGGAGGAGATTTTTTTTTAATCTCGTTGATTTTTATATTATGCCTAAGTTGCTGTCAAAAATTATGAGATGTGGTAGTCTAGCATTGTATTTTTTTTAATTCAAAGCCATCTCAGATGTATTGTTTAAACTGTAATGAAAATCTACAGGGCATAAATGAGATCAAGTCAGACCCAACTCAGCATATGGTGTGTGATCAATGGCTGGCATAGAAGAAGCTCTCTGTTTATAGCTGATGAATTATTGCCATGGTTAGCAGGTGTGGCCATGAAATGTGAACTGTATTTTGAGCCGTGAAAGCTAGAATGTGTTTTGTAGCACAATAGAAACTTCTGAAAGACCTATTATTCCTTTTAAAAGTGAAGCTTTTTCATATTGTAGGTTGAAAATTTCATTCTCATAAGATTATCTCTTGTCAGTACCCCAACCACCATGCTATTGACTGGTTTTTTTTTTTTTTTTTTTTTTTTTAGGTTTTTGCCATAGGGTACATATGCTCACAAGAGAGAGAGAGAGAGAAGGAGAGAGAAAGTGAGAAATTATCCCCAAGGGGGGATGGCCATGCCACAGTCCTTTCTCCTCCATTTTGCTTGCAGAATTTGGGGCACACACATATGCAGGAGGTACCGGATGTGATTTTTCAAGCCTTCAGGTCTGGGATTCGAACCGAAGTCATCAGTGTGGGAGTCCATAGCCTTAACTACCATGTCACCTGCTGAGCCCCCCAGAATTGCCTTCTATTGCTGTATGTTATAAGAATTCTCAGCAGCAGATCTTGAATACTTTATATCCAACTTTAAAGTGTTTGCAGAAGTTTTACTACTTTTTGATCACACTTGAATCTTATGCTATATACAGAAGACACTAGAAAATATATCTTGCCTGAATTTAAAATCATCTATAATTTGAATTGGAAAAACTAAAAAATTACTGAATTTTGTTTTGCAGTGATCGGCATGTGGGTAAAATTTATTCCAAATGTTCGTCCTTTCTGGATTATGTCAAGAAGTCTCTAAAGAAGCTTGGATTAGATGAATCTAAGGTCAGTATATGATCACCATTATTTTAATAAATGACAAAAGAACATGAATGAGGTAATGAGTAGAGATAACACAAATAATTTGGCCTTTTTCCTTATTTGTGAAAAACTTTAATTTATGTTGAAACCCACCTCTGTGACTTTTATTCCAGCTCATCTCTTCTGTCAAGTGTGGTTTGCTGTCATGAACCCCCAGAAGGATTCCCACTTTAGGCCTACTGAATTAAAAATGTGCCAATCCACAAATCTAAATAGAGTTAAAAAGTAAGAAAACAATATGAGGGAGCATCAAAAAGTTCATAGAAAATGCATATTATCTAAAAAAATGTATGGATTTCTTTTTTTTTTGCACCAAAATATACTTTAGTTCTATTTCCCACAAACTTTTTGAAGTCCCCTCATACAGATGGGAATTAGAAGTCAAATAAGAAAGAATAATTTTAATTCTGTGGGGCCTTTACTTACAGCTAACTAATTCAAATTTAAAATCTTGGATTTTTAAAGTATTTCAGCAGAGAAATCTTAGAAAGTTGTAAGATCTTAAGAGGCACAAGTTAATAATTAATAACATTGTGAAGGCAGAAGGGTAAGCTGGTTGACTATTGGTAATAAATAGTCTAACACTGAAAAAAAAACTCTAAACATGATTCATTGAGTTAATTATTAAAATTTTAAATTGAACCTGGATCACTCTGGTATTTTTAATATAATATTAATTGAAACAAAGAATAAAAAAGATGATGAAAAGAATGAAATAGGTAACTTGAAAGAAAAATTACAGAGATGTTATTATGTTACATCAAAGCTAAAGGCTACTATTATTTATTGTACCAATTATCTATTTAGTCCCCTTCAACTCATAAAACAATTGGACTGATACTAATCAGTTCCTCAGCTGTAACAAATAGACACTCTGATAGGAGATATTGTTAATGGGGAAGTCTGTGCATGTGGGGAGGGAGGTTGAATAGGAGAACTCTTTATTCTCTGCTTAATTTTGCTGTAATCCTAAACTTCTCTTTAAAAAGTCTATTTAAGAAAAGAAAAGAAATAGTTTTGGTAGATACCATCATTATTCACAATTTAGTGATCTAAAAAGGGAGTCTCAGTCATTTAGACTGAAAAAGAGCTAACGAGTGATAAAGCTATGACCTTATATACAGACTCAACTAAAATCAAAACCTTACCTCTTATCCACCACTAGTGAAATTAAAAACAAACACAACAGAAAGGCTCATGGCCAGCAGAGGACATGGAGGATAAGGCATTTGGATTTCCACATCCCACAACTGTGCTTGACCATGGTTTGAATCCCAGACCTGGTGGCTTGAAAACTCACACTGGATGCGTGTATATGAGTGCCCAAAATCCTGAGAGGAGAATGGAGGAGAAGAGATTGCAGTGTGGCCATTCTCCCTGGGGGAGTAATTTCTCACTTTCCCTTTTTCTGTCACTTATATGTATATATACACACACACATACTCATGGGTTTTTGTTAGCTTGTTTTAATTTCAAGCAAGAAGAATTTAAAGAAGGGTGTCTGTCAGAAAAGTGCAACTAAAAACTGGAAAAGTTAATTAAAATCAAAGTTATATTCCCAATGCAATACAGATATCTTACTTTACTTCCATATCATGGAATTTCAGTGCTAGAGTGAAAGTTTTCACCACAAGCATAGTAAGAAGAAATTCATGTATAATTTTATTTCAGCAATGAAATTAATTTTTACATGAATTCGAGATACCAAAAAGTATCAAAACCATTTAAATTTGAAACATCAAATATACTGAAATACTTAAAAGATCCTTGACTAAATCTATAATTATTTATTAACAAACATTGATCATTGGGTATGTGGTAAATTAATTTATTGATGTGTTATGACCTTTAAAAGCATATTCATATTCAAAGCTATGTAAACAAGTGAATTGCCTAGAAGATTTCTTAAGAGGCTTCGGATAAGTTCTTAATCACAAGAAACCTTGTGAAACATGTGGAAGTAAACAGAACATTCCCAGAGAAATAGTCATTCTGAAAGAAGCCCAGAGCTGCATGTGTTAATTATGTAAGTAGCTCTTACATAGCTTAAAATATTTATCCAAGGCCAGCAGGTGGCAAGGAGGTTAAGACGCCAGATCCCATAAATGTATGTATGTATGTATGTGTATGTGTATACACACACACACACACACACAAATGCACACATTCTTCAATTTATTGATGTGTTATGACCTTTAAAAGCATATTCATATTCAAAGCTATGTAAACAAGTGAATTGCCTAGAAGATTTCTTAAGAGGCTTCGGATAAGTTCTTAATCACAAGAAACCTTGTGAAACATGTGGAAGTAAACAGAACATTCCCAGAGAAATAGTCATTCTGAAAGAAGCCCAGAGCTGCATGTGTTAGTTATGTAAGTAGCTCTTAACATAGCTTAAAATATTTATCCAAGGCCAACAGGTGGCAAGGAGGTTAAGAAGCCAGATCCCATATGTATGTATGTATGTATGTATGTGTATGTGTATGTGTATACACACACAAACACAGACAAATGCACACATTCTTCAGTCTCACAGTCCACTGTAAAAGACAGCATTGTGTATTTCTTTTAAAGCCTAGTTCTCACCCTCAGCACTATTGGCATTTATAAAGTGTTTTAAGATTTGCCCTGTACATTGTAGGATGCTTGGCACCATCCCTTGCCTCTACTCACCAGATATCGGCAGGAGGATCCTCACATTAACCATCAAAAAAATTAAATTATTAGAGTCTCCAGACACTGCCAAAACTGCCCCCAGAGAACCATTTCCCTTGAGCTCTTGTCATTTTAGTTTTCTATTTGCTATCATTTAGTATTTCCAGTCTTAATTTTTTATTTTACATGTTATGTCAGAAAGCATGAGGAAGGGAAGGGGGGGAGGAATAGGGGAGTACCACTTTGTGGTAGCTAAGCCCACATGGGAGACCTGGGTTTGGTTTCCAGTCCAGTGGCAACAGGCCAGGTGCAGTAGTGTGTGCTTTGTGGTCCTAGCTAGCTAGAAGGCTGAGGAAGGAGAGACTATGAAACCATGTCAAAAAATATCTTCCTGTCTCTCCTTGTCATTTTCTCTCATAAATAATTTTTTAAAATAAAACCTTGACTAATATAACAAAATTATAATGCTTAGCTTTACCTACACCTAAAAAAAAAAAAATCTGGTGTTTTCAATCTTTATCTTCTGTCCCAAATTTTGATATTTCATTAAATTTCAAAAAACCTCCAAATTGTCTTTAAGGTTTCCTGTTTTCTTCATGATCTATACCATTTTACTGTCTTTTCTCAATTGATAACACTTTCTGTCTCCTTCCCCAAGTATATACTGCATGTGCAGATGCACGTAGCCATAGGATTTTAAGAACACAAAACTAGTATTGTTTGCTAGACAAAGCATGTGCGTGAGTATTTATCCATAAGAAGGAAATATAAGGAACTTCTAGAGCTTGTAAGGGTACATTTATGTTATAATAAATACTCAAGTAAGTGAAGAAATTAATTTTGGGTACTAAGAAGTGAAATAAAGGCAAGTTTGTTGGGAGTGCGATTGAGTGGGCAAAGTTGAAAACCACCTTAGCGGGAGCAAAAAGATGATAATTCATAAAGATATCCCCAGATGTATATCCAGACTGGCCAACAGAAGCAAAACTTTTGAGAACAAAATTGTTTTTTTTCTTTAACAAACTTATTTTGAAGAATCTTTCATGTGCCAAGAACAGGGCAAACTCTGGAAATAAACATAATTAAGATATAACCTGTGAAAAAGAAATAAGTACTTATAGTGTGAATCTAAAATAATAGACACATATAAAAAGGGTGGTGGAGACATAGGGAAAGGAGTGACACCCTCTGCCTATGAAGATCAGGGGAGATTTCACAATGTAAGGCACCAGCCTTACCTTGGGCTTGAAGGCTGGGTAGGAGTTCATTGAGCAAACAGCATGGAAGGTGGGGAACAAGGAATTCATTTCAGGTGTGTGCAGGGGGAATAGCTTCTGCAAAACTGGAGATAATAGAAGCATGATGCTGGAATCAGCATTGCTGGATCTTAAAGCAAGTAGGAGTGAGAGATGAAACCAAATGAATGAGTACATGTGGAGAGGCAGATAAGCTGATGTTTGAATATTAAATCAATATTACTAATGTTAGTTCATCAGGATTACTCATGATTACTGAATGGTCAAAATACATGCAAAATGGCAGGAATCGTTCCACGGGAAGGCAAGTGTAAGGAGCTGATAACCTGTTCTGTAATAGTATATCCATTAATGATCTCGACTGAACGAGTCCCTCTGACCCTCAAGAAATAGCAAATTCCTGATATAGATTAAATACCTACAAAACTTGTCATCTTTGATGATATGAGGAAAACAAGAAATCATTGTCATAAATAAATTCCTGC